GGACTAATTAGTATATCTTATATATAAAATTCTTCTGTAATGATGTATGTAAATATACTATTTCTAAACGATTATTCGGATTTTGATAAATGTTTCTAAAGTTTGTTAAGGGATTTTTTTTAGGATGTATGTGATTATAAAAATATAGCAATATTGTAGAAATAAATGGAATAAAAAACGAAATGTCATTGTTTTATTTGAGGCATTGTTTGGCATTGAAAACAAATGAAAACTGTCATCTGCCAAAAATTTCAATTTACTTATAAGACAATATTAGAATATGTGTAATAAATTCATGATTATGAACAAGAAAAATGAAATGTCTATATTATTATTGCTAAAAAGAAGCTGAGGTGTGAAGAAATTAAAATAAGATAGAGTATATGTATAGCAGATTGAATGATACACAAATGAACAGGATTTGACAAATTAATTCACTTAAAATATGAAATTAAGCAATAATCAGAACCGGTCCTACCTTGAATGCGACGCACGCCTTAGGGGGCGCCAACACAAGATTCGGATATGAAATTTTCAATATAGTTTTTTTTTTCAATATAATTCAAGAAATATATAATTTCTTTGCATCTTTTACTAATCTTTGCACAATATTTTTAAAATACGTTAAAAATTTCACTTCAAAACAACAAATGCAAAAGAGAAGATGAATACATCCAGTTCGGCCTTCACGATATCAATTAGGAGAAATTCAAGATGCAATTTTGTACATCTTAAATAATAAAAAATTGAATTAAAATAATCCAACATGAAGTACCAGTGTTATGCTATGGTTATGTTCAATAATGCAAGCCTAGAAATTTTTTGCTCTCTATGGTTTGCTCAATAGAATAAATCGCATAAAATGATCAAAATAAATAAGTAAAAAGTTTCAAAATAATAATTAATGATAATAATTTTAATAATAACTGTTAAAACAGGTAAAATAATAGGGGATGGGGCGCTAGAGAAAAAACGGCATACGGGAGCCGAGGACCCCAGGAGCGTCCCTAGTAATAATGTATATTAAATAATTACTAAGAAAAATGTAATTTAGATATAATAATTACTAAAAACCAGTTAAAATATGATATGAGATTATAAAAATTATAGGCAACATTATTGGAGCAATTATTTTGTATGGAAAAATCCAAGGTAATATTGTACTTTTACCGCGGATACTATATATTAATTTTTTCTGAATTTGTTATACCGTTTAAAAGACTTCAATTTCCAATATAGTATGGAAATTGAGACTTATCATTTTATTTAAAGCAGTTCTTCATTTAACATCGCTCATATTGATGGAAATGCATGTTGGTGTGAAAAGTAAATAAAAAAACAAGAATTATTACTTTTAGGTGAATGGTAATATTAGTAGGATATTAGATAAATTAAAAGAATATTAAAAAAATGTAGACGTAGGTATGGGAAAACGTCTGTCGGGCCATCCAGTATATATATATATATATATATATATATATATATAATTTATACAAATTGTATATTTATAAATAAAAATGAGTTCGCAACAAAAACATTACCTCCAAGTACATGTAAAAACCGTTGACCCATGAACTCTACACAAATTCTACTTAAATTTCATTTCAAATTTGTTTGCTTATAAAACTAGCAAATAATATTTGATAAGCTGTTGTATTTGTCATAATATTTTGATAAGACATCACGATATTCGCACGCGTAGAATTTAAAACAAACAAATTTGGGGAACCCGTATGAGTGTATGTTTAATCATTTTATCTATTTGCTGCTGAGTTTATTCAATTAATTAGAATGTGTGAAAACATGTTTTCAAAGCGGCTTCTTTGAATTCCACTCAGATGAATCCTACAATTTAATACTTTATACAATCGGATATAAGAATTATAAACACACAAATCAGTCAGATAATTTGCGAATTGGATTAGTGAAAGACATACTTAAATTCTACATGAGAAAAGAATGTACATAAGAAAATAAATTGGATATGTAAACAGAATTATACAAATCCCGTTATTTGCACAATAGCAAACAGAGATCGAAAATAACAAAATACAAATCGATGCATGTAATGCCAGTCAATTTATTTATATGTAATATTCACACGTGTCGATTAAAACGCGAAGGACATTAATAAAATATATAATATTTCTAGCTAAATTCTATTATCCGCTTCCGATTTTCTTATCACAAATTTGCTAGTAGATAGATACAAACTAGTTTAATAGTGGTTCACTGCGATTCTCAAACATTCTGCACCCACTGATTTTCTCAAGTGGATAACAACTTTTTTTATAAATTTATAGAATTGAATAAAATACCGAATTGAATAAAAACTAGTGGTGCATGGCATCGTGCCTCAAGTAAGGTGACCATATTTTTTAAGTCAAAAGTTGGACGGTAATTTTTAGTTATGGTAATCCGGGTCGACGGGTGGAGTGTATGCAATAAAACTTAATATTTTTAAAATAACTAATACTATTCAAAAATGCAATAAATATCAATTTTTTAAATATTTTTTTTTAATTCGGATTTAATTTAATTTTACTGACTTTTTGGAGAACATTATAATTCAATTATATATTATATTAAGTCTCATGTTATACTTTTCGATTTTAAACTTTTTATGAAATTCTGTCATCGTTCTTTATAATTATTTTGAAAAAAAAGTAAGAGGCTATTTTAACCCGCCTTCGAAATTTTGTATTCAGCCATTTTTTCCATTCATGTACTGTCTCATATGAGCATATATTTTCAGATATTTGATGAGTAGTTGTAATTAACTTTCCGCAGGGTAGTTATAGTAATGGGCCCAAAATCGAAAATAATTTTTTTCCCATATCTTCACGTATCAGAGGTTTCTGAACATTTTGGCATACCTCAGAAAAAATGGACGTGGTGTGTTTTGTATGTCCGCATTTTATCGTCCACGTTTTCGGGCGCATGGACCAACCGATTTGAATGGTTCAAAAAACATCTTCAAAAAATGGTTCAAACTATCGAAAGGGAGATGTGCTGATTAGTTTTGACAAAGGCAGGTCCAGCCGTGACAGATACGGAGCAAAGAATGCCAAAAATAGAAATCAGGTTTTTGAGAGAACGGAGTATCTGATTTGAATGATCTAAAAACACTCAATTTGTAATGATTGGGAGAAGAGGTGATTAGTTTTTGGCAAAGCAGGTCCGGCCATTTCGAAGATACAGAGCAACATGTGCAAAAAATGGCAGTTTCTGAGAGAACTAAGCGCCAATTTAAGCTTATGCTTTTCGAAAACCCGGGACAGTCCCAGCCAAACCGGGACATATAACACCTTAGCCTTTTAAGGCAAATTGTTGGAACTTCCAGTACGACAATTGTTTTGCCCATTTTGCTGAATATTATGAACTTTTTTCAAAGCAATCGCGCTGCGCAGTTATTTTGGAAATCTAATGGTTATTCATTGGTACGGAACCCACAGATTTGTAAACAACACTTGTACTCATTATTAAAATCTCTATAAAATAACTGATAATTTGATATGCATATGTCTAATGATCATTCTAGACCGCCAAATGGATTATTTTTATTGGATCTCCGAAATCGCAGGACCCGTCTGCCCAAAAAATTAAGGATATATAAAAATTTTCATTTTCGAGTTTTTTGCGATCACTATAACTTATCCTACGAGAAGTTGAAAATATATTGATTTAATAAAATAATTGCCATTAATATATATTCTGTTAATCTACAATTTGGTCTAAATCGAACTTTTGAATAGAGTTTGCGCCATTTTCTCAGTTCATCAGAAGTCTATAACCGATAAATACTCAAACAATAAGCATTTTCTTGTGCTATTTAAAATGCCAATTAGCTTCAATAATTAGCATTTCAATGACAACTATTAAAGGAGTGCCGTATTCGATCAACAATTTGATTTAAGTGCCTCATTGTAGAAATGTGTGTCATTTCAAATGTTGAAGTTAAGAGAAGCATTGTCTGATACTTTCTTTGAAGAGAGTGAGAGTAGTGCCTAAGCAGAATTTCAAATTTATTGCATATTCATAATTTCAAATTTGTACATAAGAAAAAAAATTCTTGAGTCAGTTTACATCTTCAGCCAAATTGTTTACAACAGTTTTAATATGATAATGTTCAATTGATTGAGTAATGAAAATAACTGCAAAAATTTGTAAGGGTGTGCTAAATTTCTTACTAATTACTATTGGCTAAATTTCTTACTAATTACTATTGGCATTGCATTGCAAAACCAGAATTTACAATTTTCAATATTTCTATTGAGATTATTCAATAAAAACTTTAAATAATTTTACTAAAAAGTTCAGTTTATCAAATACTATTCAAGTAACAGTAGAACCAATTTTCTCAAAATTTACACTATAATTGATTAGGAGCATTCAGAGGGTATAAATAAAATATACCAACAAGCTCAAAAATTAAAATTATAATTATTGTACTAATAGGCATTAAATTTTATTCTCGGTTGCTCATAAAAGTAATCTCGAATACAAACAACTATACCAAATCATACCAAATCCAAGTTGTGCAAAATAATATGCCTTAATTTGAATTCATTTAATTCACTTAACACAAGTTTTACAGATGATATGGATAGTATAATTTAAAACTAAAATGACTAAAAAATTAACTTCATTAATATTGATTAGAAAACTGTTGCAATACAAGAAAGCAAATACCAAAGTTAAAGAATGTATTATTAAGTTTTATGTGAAAATCTAAACCACAGCAATTTTCAGCCTTGCAATAAAATAAAAATATTTAAAGTAAATTCCTTATAACCTTATAATATTTTCAGTTGAAATGATAATATTTCTACAAAAGTCCAAGTATAAATTGTTTTAATTCTAAGAACCAACAGTGTGTCATGCACACTCTAAGAAGATTCTTTACATAACAATTCACCCAGTCACACCCGAGCGTTCCAAATACAATTTAATAACAAAATATTAATTGTAAATAAATGATTAATCGAAAAATCACTTACAGAATCCCCGAACATCTCGTACAAACAAACGAACCAATTGTCATATTCACATATGTAGGTCCCCTCTGATTGCAGTCGAAACATTGTCGATTCCCTTGCGATGTAACTAATTCACGTAAAGTCTTTAGGTTTTTATCCTCTTGCTTTTTCCGATTCGAAGCCATGGTTTATAAAACAAAATTAATTATAGCTTTGTTAGACACTTGTTATTACTAGAACTTTCATTTGATTGTGTGGTTATTTTATTATTTGGACTGTCATGTCCTCATGTCAACTTCCATAGAGTTGGCCAAACGGGCTGTGTTTTAGTATGAAGTTGGATGGAAATCATGCAATAAGCGGCGCGAGATACAAATTAAAAATACGTACAGAACATTTTGAATTTTGATACGTCATTGTTTTAGAATCATATACTTATGATACAATAACTATATAAACTTACTATAAAATGATGAAATACATATTTACCGTTTTAAATATGCTGTACCCGACACACACATTTAAAAAAAAAATCACCATTTTTACCAGTTTTTGTTAAATATTCCTAATAACTGAAAATATATACAATAATTATCTAATTAATATCCTTTTATTTCATATATACAAATCAATTATCTAAATTGGTTCCATTCATTGTCTACTTAATAATAAATTACTCTGTTTTATTGTACCCTAGTTTATAATCATCTCATCGCATTATTATTTCTAATTATCTAAAATATTTACGAGTGCAGTTTGGAAGCTCAATATTATATGTACTGATAATTGTTTTATTCTTGGTCTCTTAAAAGAATCTATTGATTGCACTACCTACACCTTGTTCTTCTGCTGATCAATACAACTCTGTTGTTTCTTCTATTGCTGGAAAAGAAAATATTTGGTTAATTCATATTATAATATACATATATAAAAAAAATTGAATAAAAATGAAACAAATGCTACAAATAGGACACGAGTATGAAAATATAACTGAAGAAACATAAAATGAATTAAATATGACAGTCTTTAGATCATATATTTGCATTACATAGCTTTGATATAATAATAAATACAGTTAACAATGTCCATTATGTTGATTATATTGCACATCACTATAATTCATGCATATTACTGTGTATTTTCAATTATTTATTGACAACGACAATACACTGGGATGGGGTGGCAATTACTATAAGATTATTCGAGGCTCTGCAAACTGATTTTATTCAAAATAAAAATATGTTTAGTCCAGTTTTATATTAGTACATAAAACGATTATGAGCCAATTTCTTTAAAAATGCCTAGGTCCCTATACTCCAACATTATAAAGATATCTTTATCTCAGTTCGCAAAACCTGGATTTTAGCTTAATATTTTAATTATTAACTATTGAATTGTGTAAAAATGACATCAATATAATTTTAATATTGAACACTTATTATGTTAAATATTAATGTTTTAACAGCAATATAAAAAATCACAGTGTATGCTGATTTTATCCATTATTATTTTTTTTATAATTTGTTATCAAAATCGCTATACATCTTGATACCATTTGGATATCTATAATAATTAATAATATATAACTAAAAGATAAAATTAAATATTTATGTTGTTGAGATTAATATCAATTCAATGTAAAAATTACTAAAATGGTATCAAAATGTTGGAATTGTAATTATATTGATTTCACGAAACCATTTGATTATTTTCATTGAAAAATCGTTCTTTACATCATATGAATTTGTAAAATTTGAACACAATTATCAGCATATTTTTTTAAATAATAAATTTATTGGTAACATACATTTGTGATATACCATATATAAAATTGAAATTGGTAGTAGTCACATATAATATTAAATGTGACAGTGTTTGTTATTTTAAAAATAAATTAAATATGTTAATTATATAATTAACAATAAAACGTTTACATAAAAATAATATTTTAATTGATTATGCTCGTATATATTTACTTCAAAGTAATTACGAATTAATATCACTTTTGACATCGATAACTTTCATCTTGTAATTAAGATTATATTAATATAATATATTAATTATTACAATGAGCAATGGCTTCATTCATTTTAAATCATGGCTTCTAAGTTAATTTCTATAGCAAAAAAGCAACTGATAATTTAGTCTTTCTTCTGCAGCAATTTATAATTAACAACTATTTTGCTTTTCACAACGCTAATAAGTATATATCATAGATTAAAGCCTTTTAGCCTACCTAAAGGCTCGAGTTATCTAACATAATATTAATTATAAATAAATAACAACCGTAGCTAAATCATTTATCTAATTTCATCAAGTCTGTCACTATTTTAAATTGATCTAATTGTAAGCAAATTAAGGCGTACATATATTTTGCTTGAATCACATTTCAGCAGCCTGCAAAACTTTAAATTAATATAATTGTTATCAATAATTAGCAATATAAAAATTTATATTATATTTTCTTGATTTAGCTTTTATGTTACTAATCGTATGACTTTATGACTATTTTATAGAACAAATCAATATTAAATGCTTTTGTTACTTTTGTGTCTACGATATGAATTGCATTTTAGACTTCTTGTTGAATGTTAATATGGAAATATATATTTCTTGATTTTGTAAAACCACTTGAATGTAATTTTTCTATTTCATCAGTACATCTAGAACATTGTAAACATTTCTACCACAGTTATCTATGAAGCCTATATTGTTTGAATATTTGTTTCATTTTAAGCACTTGAATAACAACACAGTTTTTGTATTAATAATGCTTCTACTACAAAATTTCGTAAAAAAATTAAATTCGTGGACAAACCATCATTGAGAAGACATTATTCATGATAATATGCAAAATTTCATCATGATAATGCATTCTAAACTATGAAAATATCCACGATACTATTTTCTCTGTATATTGCAAAAATACTAACAAAGAGTTGACCATATCCTTTTACAACCTTTGGCTAATTCTAACATGTCCTCTGTACTTATTTGTGATTTTTTTTTAGCTTAATTAAATTAATTATGCATAGGCACTGTTTGTCATATGTTCAGAATAACTTATATATGACCTAAAACGCTATTTCATTAAAAAAGCTAGTGCATCAAATGTTGTTCGATAATAACAGTGACTTTGTAAACATAGTTTATATATATATATATATATATATATATATATATACATTTAAACTTCTTAACAAATCTAATCTATGCGTAGAAACTCATGTACATAATTCCTAAGTGCTTCGTCTAGTGATGTTTGCATTTGCATTTGTATTCATTATAAACAAATTTAATTTTTGCTTTATAAATTATCTTTACATTACACACCAATAATTGTTTATCCATTTGCTTAATTATAATCTTAACAATTTCTGATGTTACAATGATTTATATGAGATGATTCGTGAAAACTGTGATTGTACATTGAATTTTTGAGTAATTTAGTAAAGACTTAAGATAAATATTTTAAAAAATATGAAATTATTTGTGTTTGTCGAATTTGTACATCTAATTTATCATTATGTAAGATGTGTGTCATATAAAAGAATTGTGTAATAAAATAAATTAAGAAGTTATTTTAAAACTATATAAAATAAATAAACTTAGATAAAAATAAGATAGAAAATATTAGCACAAATAATAAACGGGTATCAATTTTAAATCAGTATTTTGAACCCTGTACATGTAATCTTATTTTTCTTAAATAATATCATTCAGTCGATTTCTTATAAATAAATTGGAATAATAGAATATATTCTTGATAGTACGGAACCCTAAAAATGTCAATAATATTTTATATTGCCGATTAATTACTAACACGGTTATGATTAATATGCGACATTTATAATTGTTTCACATATTAGGGGCTTAAATCAATTTTTTTTATATTTATACCATTTTATTACAGATACATGCTTATAATTTTCTAAAATGACTTAATCTTGATATGGTTTTATAAAATTTGAGTATAATGTATTATTTAGTATTTTAGTATTATATTTATTCAATTAAAAGTTCTCGAAAGACATTTTAAAGTTTTATGAATGAGTTTTAGGTGATATGGAAGCTTATGAAAATTACTTGGAGAGGTAAGTGTTTTAGTGGGTCCTTTGATTTTAAAGCGATATGGGTCCTAAATGTGATCTAAAAGAATTAATTGCGCAATTGTTTAGATGAATATTAATGTGAGATTATTGAATTGTTTTCTATTCAATTGTACAATTTTCTTTGTGAGTTTGTGATAAGTTTTTTTTAGAGTTTGTGATAGCTTTATATACTGATAAACAATAATTTACGTCTAACAGAATTAAATATAACGAACTAAAAATGTGTTATAAAGAGAATATGATTTGGATGATGAACTAATGAAGATGATATGAATGATTGATTATATTTTTAAAAGGCTGATCCTGCAATTGCATTGCATTTCCTTACAAATTTATGTCAGTCTGATCGAATATTATGATTCTGGATCAATTGCACACGACATCAGCCTCAAAAACATCCAGATTCTTATCACACTCCATCAAAGGAACTTAAATAATATTGTCAACATTACATCTAACATCAAAATGATGATTTCTACTTTTATGTATCTAATAAATCAGTACTTTATTACTAATTCAATTATTACTATTCAATAATACTAATAACGTTTCTTTTTTTCACAATAGCTTGCTCGATGGAAGAATTTTGATAAAATGTTCAAGTTGAAAAATTTGGTTTGCATTTGTGTCAGCAAGGCTGGTTTGTTTGCATTTACTATTGTCAATAGTTTTAATATTTACAGGATGAAAAAATATTTTGAGATCTTTGCCAAATTAATTCATTTTAATTTAAAATGTGTTTTTTCTTAAAATTGTATTATTTTAAAGTAAATTAAAAATTTAAGTAAAAACAACCTTAACTAACATTGTATACTTCATTTTACTGCAAGTTTCAAAATAATATTTTATAAATATAAATTGACAACGATGCACCCCAGAAAATTTTAGATAATTTATTGCTTAAAACCATTGTTATAAACTATCACTTTCTTTTTATTTCAATGCAATCAAAATATTTGCAGAATAAAACTTAAATAACTCTTGTGCATTTACTAATTTCAATTAAATTTCTGATAAATTTAATAAAATATTGTCAAAGCTTGATTTTTCACTTCAAATAAATCGAAAAATATCGATGAAATAAGAAGTGGTAAACAAGCAAGCACTGTAAAGTTTCTTACACCACAAACATAACATAACATATCATTAAAAATTACTGCAGTGCTAATTTAATTTATTTAGTGCTCTACTATGCTTACTTTATCTCCATCTTCCACTTCAAGCATTGACAATATACTTTCTTTTCGGAGGTGCACAACACATATCATACAACACAAAAATAATAAACAAAAATCAAACTTTCCTTGCCCGATTACTGCCTCCACTAAAGACCATGCACGGATAAAAGTCCTCATCATCAGAATTGACAGGCATATATCCGTTACTGATTTGAGAGTTCCTCTTCTTTCTGATGCTTCCGAAAGGTCTTCCATTTGAAAGTATTTCTTCATTAATGGAGTTATTGATAGAGTATCGAATATCATTGGCATTTGCTTCAGAACGCATTTCGCAGTATCCAGGATTTAAGATAATGTTTGGTACTAACTCCATTGTTTCTTGGAGACACATATCATCTTCTGAAAATTGAAGATTGATTTTTAGAAAAATGTGAACTGTTTCTAAATTGACAGTGGCTAAGCTATAATTGAAGTATATACATATACAAAAAGGATATAGATAATTACATTAGAGATTCCTAGAAAAAAATACATTCAGATAGTTTACCAAGCAGAAAGTATCTATTTAGATGAAGAAGTGTGTTGCCATTTATATTGTAAATCGAGACAGAGAAAATTATAAAAATATAATAAAACCTAAATTTCAATAAAAAAATATATATTTAAAAGCTTTAGGAAAGTAACATGCTACTGAAAGCAAAGAGGTAATACAAATCAATAAATTTGATATATTATTTTATTCATTAATGCAACGAAAAACAATTCAAGCGTTGTAACCAATAGTCAAAAATCTTGTTACTGTTACTTACAAAATTTCTTGTAGTATTCAAAATTTTTTTGGCACTACACACATATCATTTATTATTTATCACATCGATACATAGGAAAATACACAATGATATTTGGGGACCATTGATAACAACAATCATGAGCACTACACTAACATTTGATCACACACAATAACTTGTGTGAAAGTATTAATAAATATTTTTGAATATCTGAAAATAATCACACAAAATACTGATGATAATTTAGTCATAATTAGAAATAAGATGGAACACTTTATAAGAAAGCAGCACACCAATAACAATCAAACCTCGGATTTTTTTTTGTTTTCGCTATTTGGATAAAAAATTTATTATGAAGCATTAAGCATAATATTAACAAAAATATAACATTAAATTAACTACACATTGAATGTCTACTACATCAAAAACTAATAACAATGTAAATGAAATAAACAAATATGATGAGATATTTGTAATTATACATGAAACACCTGGATCAAAATTATTTTCATGTAGCCAACAATTATGAATAAATAAATCAAAATCAATTTATTCAATGGAGTAATGAAATATCTATTTAATATATATATTGGCGCACACCATTATATGTTTAGTAACGTTCACAAACCAAATAACATTTATATGCAAAAAAACATCTTAAAACTTACCATTAGGCGCTCGACATTCTTTATATAGTAACAAACATGTCCCAAATGTCAGAACAGTCAGAGTGCCCATAACCACAGCAACCGCAGCCACCCAAACCCTAGTATCGAATTGATCTGCCCCTGTTAACAAATGTCTTGCCAGTTCTATAAGAAAGATAAATAATTAGCTTTAAATGTAATTATTTATAAAATAAATGTTTTACTGACCTGCCTCACCATCAAAATACAAAGTTGCTCCTAAAACTTCAACTTTTTCACCAGGCCCTAAAGCATTTGTTGCCCATACTCTGAAGGCATAAGTTGTATTTGGTATCAGATGATAAATGTCGATTTGTCTCTGTGAAAATAAAAATTCAATTAGAAAGAACAAGGACATGTAGCAGTATTTAAAAAATTATTCATATTGATAGATAAACTTACTGTACCCATACAGGTTGTGTTCAGCACTTTAAAACTTGTTATTTAGGCTATATATAATCATGGCAAACATAACAATTGTTTAAATTAACTAAAATAAAAAATCAAAATTGTTTCAACACATTTATTATAATAATTTAAAGTACATGAAGCAAAAACAATATAAAAATGAATATATAATAAATAAATAATAATTCAAAAACATAAATAAATATAGACATATAATAGAAGGGCTGAAATAAAATTAATTATAAGATTAAAAACACAAGAAAATAATCTTCAGTGCTTATAAAATAAATAATAAAAATACCTAGAGATAATGGCTAAAAAAAATCAATGAGAAATAATACCAAAACTATAAAGATTATTACACTGTACTTACCGTATTAGGACTCATATGTGCAGGACTTATAATCTTCCATGTTTCATTTTCAGGAGCACCACTACCATTTGGAAAACTATGCAGTTTATATTCAGCTGTAAAATCAATTATCGGATAACCCCCTGAACCATTAACATTCCATAAAACCAGCCCCAAAACTGTAGACATATGTGTTGTTACATTTACTAAAGGTGGTGGAGGAGCTAATAACAAAATCATGTATATGAATAATAAGATTACAAGTTTATCAATATTTTTTATATTATCTACTTACTTCTTACTATAATCTTAATAGATTCTTTTTTTATTTCATTCCCATCCCGATTGCAAGTATAAATTCCTGCATCAGAAGGCTGAACGTCCCAAATGCCTAAACTACCATTATCTTGAACATTTGAGTGATCTGGAGGTTCACGACCGTCTCTAATCCAAGAGACTACACCTTGTTCACCAGGACATGGCAGTGTTAAATTGTTACCAATATCTACTGCTACTACACCAGGCTTGATTGTTGTAACCGCTGCACTAAAAACTACAATCATAGAATTTATTAAAATATACTCACACAGAACAATAATAATAAATAAGTGAATTTTCAGTCTTTATAATAACAGTTTATGCTAATCGTTTACTTGATTATTAAAACATAAAAATTCAAATTCACTACAAAATCACACCTGAAAACATATAAAACAAATCGATTTTTATGACATGTCATTATCTATATTTATACATGTACGTTTACCTGAAGAAATGAAAAAGCTTATAATATTTGCTAGCACCATAAAAGTCCACATTTTGAAACTGTTATTATGCCAAATAAATTATTTTCAAATAAAAAATACGACTTTACATAATATAAACACTATTTCTATTGGAAGCCAGCAACAGTTTAGTATTAAGCAAGCTTGAATTACATATCACTACGAATGTTGTGCAAGCGCGAAATTTGCAATTTACATTCAATACGTGACTAAAGGCTTAAAAAGATAAGATATATTATAGTTTTAAACACTATCACAGCCTTATTTAAGTATTAAGTAATGTTTTAGTTGGGATTTAAAGAATCTTAAGGAGGATGTCGATTTTGACAGATGACGAACCCGTACACCAGAAAGGCCGACATCAGCGCTCTGGTGAGAGTTGACAAAAGCTAATAAAAAGGTCTGCGAAGTTCAAAATTACAATTTGATAAAGCATAATAAACTACTACTTTATAAATCACCTTTAAACAATTAATAGTTATAGATTCTAATAGTAAAAATGCATGCTTAAAAAAATTTTCGACGTTGTTGATATACAAATAATCAAGATTTCAGCTTAATGTTTTCACATATGTCGATAAAAGGAACATTTTATGCAGACATTTGTATTAAATAAGACATGGATCATAAATAAAGAATAAATGAAAAATTATAAATAACATAATATAATTATATTAAAATTATGCATTATATCTTTTTTTCTCGCAAAAATATGGTTTCTGCATTCACAAAAGTCAGCAAAAGTGGTTCTACAGAAAAAATGTTTTGAAAGTACCTACCTTAATTCCTAAAATTTAAATAAAATAATAGAAAACTTTTCCAAAACGATGACAAATTTTTAATAATCAATATTTACATCTCAAATCACACAGACTAAAAAAGTGCTATTTTATTTTTTTTAAATACAAATCAATTTTTATAAAACATTTATACATTTAATAGCAGTGAATATATAAATTAAATAGTAAATAATGAGTTTATATTACAAATAAATAAATTAAAATACCTATAATGAATTGAACAATATACAATTTACAATTGATATAAAAATGAAATCAATGCTATTTATAGACAGCTTTATCAATAATTATATAGATTTTTGACTAGATTTTAGGCCGTGTTTTACCAAGCAAACCTCATATGATACGTATAGGAAATATTCACAATATGTTTATAAATATTTTCATACGTAAACGTTGCGTTTTTAATGTTTATCTGATAATATTTATAATAAAGAAATAAAAAATCAAATGTTTAAAACAATTTTTAGTTATTAATTTTGTTTCTTAAATCTATCTAAATTTATGCTAAAGTTTATATTATCCATCGGCAAATCGCTGCTTAAATATAACTATATTATTTATATTTATTTATGTACAAAAAACAAAATATTTACACATTTTTTTAAAACTTTGATAATATCACTCATTTAACTAAAGCCTAAAATTGTTGCAACGCCATGGAAAAAACGGGACACAGGACACTCGTAAAAATTAGTTTATTCGTATCAACAAATAGATGTATTAAAACTATATGTACAAATTAGAACTTTAGTCAACAGAACACAAGGAAGTCCTTATCAAATCACAAACTGTCAATTGGATTGGCTAAACTTGTCTATTTAGTCTATTCGCAAGTTCTCTTACACCAGCGTCTCCCGCCGACACTAAAAGCTGGTGGTCACCTTATCCGGATAAGGCGACACCAGTTCCACTCATAACGACGAACCGAACTCCGAACTCCTCCGGCGATCGACGTGCTTCAGATAAGTCTCCGAATAGACACTTTTTTTTCTGTCCTCATATGGTCGCAGAGAAGATCTCCTAGTGTCCAAATCATCCAGGTCCACGGGCTGGTTCTTACACAAGCTGCAAAACGCGCACTGCAAGGTGTTCCTAAAGGCTTCTCGAAACTCGCGGTTGAAGTAAGCGTAGATCAAAGGATTCAAAGTGGAGTTGAAGTAACCGATCCAGAATACTATAGCGACTACCACATCCGGGCAATCGCAGTGTTCTCCACACAAGGACGTGCTAAGGTACCAGGAGAAGAATGGAAGCCAACACAATACGAAAGTACCCATGATTATGCTTAAGGTACGTGCAGCTTTATGCTCGCGTTTCATCTTGATTATGTTCTTGTCCTTGGTTGGCGTATTTAAAGGCTCATCGGGAATCTCGTGCAACGTCAAAGTCTTTGATGAGCCACCCGATGACGACAGGACATCGCCGTTATGACCACAATCCCTGCCTTGGCCGATGCATCAACATGGCTTTACCTTGCCTAGTATGCAACGCTTTTTCTTGTTTATCAGCTTCGCGGAAAATTTGCAAATATGTGAACACCATTATGGTGCAAGGTATCCAGAAAGAAATAGAACTCGATATTACTGCGTACCATTTGTTAACTACAAATACGCATTCATTTGGATGTTCGGCGCGGTATTTCTGGTTCTCCTCGGTCGTGTACCATCCTAGAAAAATTGGCACAAAGGACAAGAGAGCTGGTGCTATCCAGGTGTTCAAAATCATTACCGCCACAACTTTTTTGGTCATGCTTATGGGATATTTCAAAGGCTTGACAATAGCGTAGTATCTATCCACAGATATACAGCACAAATGCAGAATTGAAGCAGTCGAGAAGTAGACATCCAAAGAGTTCCAAACATCACACATAAAATAACCGAATAGCCATCGTCCCGTCAACTGGACACTGAAGTTGAAGGTCA